AACCAATAAAAACAAACCTAAAAGTCTTTTATTTTGTACTAGCTGTGTGCTTCCTCGAAGTTTTATATTCACGTTGGCAAATTCTTCTAAATTTCTCAGAGGCCAGAGACAACTTCTGGTGTCCATCCACAGTCTTGGAGACGTGGGCCCCGCTCACCAGGTACATGAAGTACAAAATCACTGGGCAGCTCATCTCATAGAAACCTAGAGGATAAAGGGGTCGGGGTGAGGGTGGGGGGTAGGGGTAGGGTAGAAATGTTGGAGCTTTTTGTTGTGCCTCCATCCACTTTCACTGTCTGAAAGAATTCTCTGCCTTTTCCAGCATCCCAGGACTTGGACCCAGTCAAAGTGTCAGTGCCTGAAGGTGGCAGAGGCATCCCAGAGGCAAAACCACAGACCAAAGCTTCTTGAGGAATTCTTCAGTGCTAAGTGACATGGCCCTTAGATACAACCCAGTGACCTCCACGTCCTGCCACCTCCCTTGGCCTATCAGCTCCCCCCATCACCCTCCCAGAACCCTGACGCCCCCAGCCTCTCCCAAGAAATGCTCTCCCTTTGGTCTCATTTTAACATAACTGCTGGATTAGTTGGTCCTCCTGACTCCAAATTACTTGGTAAATGATTCACTTATCAATCACTACCACCCACCCCACCCCCACCCCCACTATAAGATATGAGCTTCTGCAAGACAGGGTCTTGGTTTCCTTTTTGGCTTTGGATCTCCATGTGTGGAAGGGTGAGCAGGCTCAGCAGGAATGTTGCCTGTTCCCTTTCATTAAGTTCCAGGGGTCCCTGGAGCAAAGGAATGCTCTGACTCAACCCCCAGCACCCCTAAGACACTGTAGAACACACAAGGCTGAGGCAGGGCTTTCCTCTTACGTTGTTTTTAACACAGCTATCATTCTGTAAGGTTCTGAGGACCAAGCAAGGAAGTAGCAGCTCAGAAATGTGTCCGCTGCTCAGGTAGCCACCCTTCCTGCTGACTTTGTCTCGCCTACAGTCATGCTTATGGGCCCAAATGGGGCTGCTGGGAAAACCTTTTGGTTTGAAACCAATTTTCAAAGCCATATTTGGCAAAGGTTCAACCTGGCACATTGCTAGGTCAACTTATTCTTACTAATAATGAGTTATTATAATTAACAAGAGATAACATTTATATAGCACTTTAAGGTTTGCAAAACACTTTACATATTTATCTCATTTATTATGTACTCGTACAATCCTGTGAGGTAGGTGTTAATATTATCCCCTTTTTACAAATGAGGGAACTGAGGTTGAGTGTTAAGTGGCTTGTCCAAAGTCACTGAAGGAGCACGAGGAGAAATTCAAATTCAGGTCTGTCCATCTCTCAGTCCAGATCTGTGTCCACTATGCCATAGTGCCTCATCACTCTCCTACATGCCTCTACGTGGGGATCCAGGTCAGACTGTAAACTCAAAACCAAACCCACCCACTGTCTTTCTTCCCAAAGCCTCTGCAGCTCTTTATGGTTTGCTCCTCCTGTCAGTGGCACCAGACAGGTAGAAAGCCTTGACTCCATCTCTGATTCCTCCCTCTCCTTCAATCCTCATTTTCATTTGATAAATTCTGTCAAGTCTAACTCTCATCTATTCCTTCATGTCCATTCTTGCTGCCTCCCCCCTCCCCTTACTTCAGGTTCTCAATACATTTCATCTAGACAATGTCAATAACTCCTTCCCACTTCAATCTAATATACACACCAAAGTAATCTTTGTAAATCACAGCTGTGAGGTCACTTTCTTTAAAAAAAAAAAATCCAAAGTGTGCCCACATGTGTACTGAAGAAAGGTCAAATTCCTCAGGCAGGAATTACAAACCCTCCACAATCTGGCTTCAACTTACCTTTCCAACCTTACCTCACATTATTCCAGCTACACCAGAATACGCTGTTCTCTGGGATTTGCCTACTCTTTTTTTGACCTTAAACCTGGAAATGCAGTACTGCCTCCCCTATCTTGGACAAGTGAACTTTTCCCCAACCCTTGCTTGCCAGCTTAGAAATTACTTTCTTAACCAAGTCTTAATCTCCCAACAAAAAAAAATGATCTCTCTCTCCTCTGAACTCTGAGAGGATTTTGTCCATATCTTGCCTCTGTACATATATTTCAATATAATTTATATTAAAATATTCATGGAACACTGAGTGGGAATGTCTGGGAGGTGGACTGAATTACTATCAATTTGAGAGTCAGATGTAACCCACATACTGGGACCTTGACCTCCTCCATCTTATGAACACTGGAAAAAAGAGGTTTTGAAATCTTTTCCCATTGTTCTCTAATATTCTGAAGGTCAGTCTCTTTATCACCCTATCTGCAGGTTTTCCAAACAACCTGTAAATATTGAATTGTTCTGTGCTTCACTGCCTTCTTTGGAATGCCGAATGCTTCTCACCTCTGCTAGACTGAACTCCTAAGGCAGGACTGTCTTATTCATCTTTGCATCCAAAGCATGTAGCACGATGCCTTCCTTTGGAGACAGCAGGTGCTTAATAAAATGTTTGCTAATGGCCCCTCAAAAAACACTTGCTAAATTGAATTACGAAAACTAAGACTGGCCTCATTTGCCTGTTTTGTGTATTGCCTTTTCCTCCTTATCCACGGGGGTGAAAAAGGGTTAGGGAGGAAGCAGCAGCTGCCACCTTCTTTCAATACCACTGTCATCAAAAAGCATTTAAGATGCACATTTAGTGTTTTTTTAAGATTATGCAACTAATTTTCTTTTGAAAACTGTATTTCTCTAACCCGGTCTCCCAGGCATAAATCAAACTGCTGGGAGTCAGGAAGGGAAACAGGGAACTGGCAGTGGGATCTAACTAAATGATAAGATCTCAGCTATGCCCTGGGAAAGGATGAGAGAACAAGGGAACATCGGTACCAAGCACGAAAAAAGTGACTCCGACACAGAAGATCTGGCTTCTTCTCCCAATTCTCACACTAAGTTATATGAGCCTGACCAAGTCACTTCATAACACTTGTAATGTGGGGATAACAATACTTGTCCTGCCTACCTCATAGGTTTTTATTTTTTACTTTCTAAACCTTTAAGTGCTATAGAGATAAATTACTAATTTCAGCACACTTTGCTCAGCTCTACTTACCAAAAAGATTGTCTCTTCTAAGACCAAGAGATCATTGTAATAGGTTAAGCCTTTTGGTTTTAGCAAGCTCAAAGTGTATCAGCAAACTTTTATTATTTGCCATGGAGTACAACTTGTCATAAGGATTTTAAGCATTAAGAGTCAAATCCCAATTTAAATGACAATACTTTAATAAAGTATCTTTTTCACAGCAACACTAGACCCCACCAACCCCACCACCACAAAGTCAACAATCACATTGCTTATTTCAAATTTTCACTAACAGGTAACACTTTCATGATTCTGAAATGCATCAAATTCATGTAAACTTTAACATATCATTGTAAAGGACCACCATATACAAGTACAAATAAGACAGACATCATTTTGAGGACCAGTTGAACCTTTGACAAAACAATTTTTAAAACTTATATTTAATTTTCCAATATTTAGCCACATCCACAAATACACCTAACAATAGTTTGGTCTACAAAGACTGCCTTGTAGAGGCCAGAGTAAAGATACGGTGAAATATTCAGATCATCATTCAGGAAAGTTTACAAGATATGGCCATGTAGAGTTTATCACTCATGGTTTTAAGACATGGCTGTCTTGATTACAATAGAAAGAGGGATGTTTAACAGTGCTGTGAAAAACCTTGTTGAACTATTGAACAGGAAAAGTAACCCTAAATTCAGATGTACTGAAATACCACAAGAGCATTCAACATCTGGATTTAATTTGTCTGGGTTTCAACTAATAATCATATTTCAGACAGAAAATTAAAAAAAAAAAAGGGAACAGTCTTGGATTATGAGGTTGACTGTTAATGGAGAAAGGAGGAGGGGAAAAAACAAGGGAGAGGTAGTAAGAAGGGTGCCCCTTAAGTGTTACCAAAACTTACCAGCCTTTATTTGTCCCCAAACCAGTCCAGGCTTTTGCTTTGAGGGAAACTGCCCCATGACTTGGGCTGGCAGTTTATATATATATAGACGATCCTGAGAATATTATGACAGGTGTGCTCTGGTGAAGAAGATGATTCCCCATGATATGGACCCCGGAAGAGGGCCTACGCAGTTGTCAAAATAGTGTATGGTGAGCCCTCCTACTGTAAACATAGGGATAGGTCCACAGCAAGAGGCAGTGTGAGTAGAAAGAGACCTGGATTTGCAGTCAGATGATCCGTGTGTAACTCTGGCTGGGTCACGTACTATCTGTGTGACCTTGGGAAAGGCCCAATCTCTACCTCCATTTTCCTTATCTCTAAAATGGGGGAATAACAGGAGCTCAGTGCAAGCTCCCAGGGTTACGGAGCAGTTCACGGGAGCAAATGGCTTCCTAGCCAGAAGGTTCTCCAGAAAATCTCAACTGTGCTAATGGACGAACGGCGAAGTCTCCCTCCAGGTTGTCTTCCCCGAAATAAACCCCACAAAAACCGTATTCGCCGGGTTCGAGGTAACCCCCTCCCTCAACGAGCGGCGGGGATAGGCTGACTCATGCTCCCAATTGTCTCCCTTCTGCTCCTCCCCCAAAGCCTAGCTCCGCAAGGCGACAAACAACCCTCTGCCCAACGTCCCTCCTCCCAGCTAGCCATCCCCTCCACTGTCTGATGGTTCAGTTCTGGGGAAGCGGGGGAAGAGGGATGCACGGGGGAACTGGGAGCGACGCCGACTCCAAGCTGAGGTGGCTGGGCAAGAGGACAAGGAGAATGGCTAGAGGTCAACGCCAGGGAGCGGCTCCCCACCCCCACCCCACCCTCTCAGGCCCGCCATTCGAGCTCCAGACGCCTCGCCTCGAGTGCCTCGCCCGCTCTGGGGCCCTGGCTCTCGGACCACGCCCCGGCCAGGGCCTCTGGGCCCTGTCAGCAAAGCCAAGAGGAGGATAAGGGGACGAGACTCACCCCCGCAGCCGCCATGACCGGGTGACTCCCTCCTCTCCAGCCCTGGCTTCCTGTACAGGGAGCCGAGAGGGACACACAGGCTACACTCTGGGCTAGGCCCCGCCCTCTGGTCCCCTTCCCCCCAGCCTCCCCACTTCCGCCCTGCCCTTCCCCTCCCCCCACCCCCTGCTGGGCTGCTCGGAGCCCGCGTGGTTAACCATTCAGCTCCAGTCCTGGAGTCAGGCAGGGAAGAGGAAGCCTGAGAGTGGTCGTCGTTTCCCCCCATTCCCCCCGCCTGGTCCCAGGGAAGGCAGCCTCGCAATGGGGGCACCTTCGCTGGGCTCAAGGAGTGGGTGCCCTTGTTGTTCGCCCGCTCCTGGGAAGCAGCCTTTGAGCTTCAGTGCCAGGAGGGCGCTGAGATGATCCCTAGGCAGCTGGTGCCCAACGGCGGTGATAATGTTAAAGTTGGTCCCTGGCCTGGGCCGGTGGGGCCTCCGGCGGGGCGGGGCGGGGCGGGGCGGGGCGGACCTAGCCTAGCAGGCCGCCCGCCTACCTATGTGGGCTGGGACCGGGAGGCGTCCTAGAGCAGCTGGGCCTTCTTTCTTTGCTCCCAGTGGTTCTTCCCTACCTATGCTCCCGAGCAGGTCCTTAACTCCTTAAGGCCCTAACACCTCGATGGAATTTGGGCTCCTTTACTTTTTTTTTGCGGGTTTGAATACTCCACGCCCAGCACTGCGCCCGGCGCTTGTAAATTGCTGGTGGCGCGGGATAGTTTGGGATTGTAGGTCAGAATTTGCTCGGCCTTTGTAGGAAAGGGGAAGCTGAAAAGGTTTGTTAGAGCTGCTAAGGGAAGGGTAGTTGCATTCTACACAACTATGCCTGAGGGTAGGCTTGTGGTTAGGCCCAACGGGCAAGGCAATAAACCAAACCAAGGCAGTTAATCCATTTTGTCAAACTTGGGGGAAAATAAAAGGGAAAGGGATCCAAATCCTGGAGTTATTAGAGAGGGCTCTATTTAGCGCCTGGAGAGCTAGGACCAAATTCCACCTCTGATCCTTACTAGCTACGTTACCAAAACCAAAATCACTTACCTTGTCAGGGCTTTAGTTTCCTCGTCCAAAAAACAGTGCTAGTAAGAGCTGCACCTACCTACCTACCTCACAGAGTTGAGGTGAGGAAAGCGCTTTTCAAACCTCAAAGTGTTCAAAACCAAAGAAAACCAAACAAAAGGGAGTTATTAGCTGGTGTGCTGTGCAAAGGAACGTAACACTGACAGGTAACTTAAAATGAGAAGTCCCTACCGAGAGGGCACTGTGAGGTCTTCAAACCACTTGGCCATATTATCGGGGTTACTACATTCAACTGTATTGGTTTCTGATTTTTCGAAAATCGATTACAATTAGCCCCCTAAAACAAAAGCTTGTTCTCGAATTTATGAAGGAGAAGTGTTTCCTTCAAAAGCACGCGAGTTTTATTTTGGGGACACTTTGTTTTTTTGGGGAAAAAGAACCAAGTGCTTTATTCTTTGTTGTGGTTTTCTTAATGTTACGGCGGCGGCGGCGGCGGCGGTAGCGACGCAACTTACTGGGCGGTGAGCGGTGTGCCAAGAAGTATATGCCCAATGAGCAGAACACACAGTGACGATACCGAGTCACGAAATTTTATCACACACGAAAGTTAACACTTTAATCTGTGATAGAAAACAATACAGCCAGTTACAACACAGAACTCATTTGAAGAGCAAAAAGGGAAAATCACCAACATTTAAAGCCTATATAATCTTAGTGAATAACTGTCAATACAGTACAAATACAAAATCAAGAATACTTTAAAGTTTTATCCAGGGGTTGAAATTTACTTTTTCCTAAAACCAAAGCGATAACATTTTCCTATCTCTGTAGCATCTACACCTTCTAGGACTCTGTTTCTTACTGTCTGGAGTATGGAATTGTGATGGTGTGTTGAGAAGAAGAAATATACCTTGAGATCATAGAGAGATGGAAACTTTATGAAATGTATAAAGACATCATCAAGAAAGTGTATGATCCGAAGAGGATGCAAACTGGTCATGTAGTGAAAGTGGAATAACAGATGGATAGTTCGAGCGCTGCATTTGTACCAATGAAATGTCAGAAGCAGTACAGGAAGGCTTCCAATGGGTTGGATAGATCCAGGATGAAGGATTTATGAAAGGACTAGAATGCCACAGGAAGAGAAGGCATGGATGGGTTACAGTTTGTACTGGTGGAAGGAAATGCTCATATTGATGAAATGGATCAAGAGAAGAATTAAAAATGTATACATCCTAGCTACAAAAGTTAAAATTTCTGTTGGTTAAAGAAACGCGAAACTTTATGAAATGTTGTATTAGCCATGTTGGAAAGATAATACAAGCCAAGTCTCTCAGTTAGCAAAATCAGATGATTTGCTGTCTTCTTTTTTCATTCATAGCTGATGAGATAATGAAAGGAGATCGGTTTGAAATATCTGTAGTGTGAAAACAGACAAAGTAAGTTTGAAAACTGAGAATTCAAACTCTGTTGTTCTTTTTCCCGCGAAGTTTTTGTTAATAAAATTACTTTAAAAGCCACATATTGTGCAGTTAAAATGAACAATGGCTCAAAAGAAAAACAGTCAATGAATCAAAATGATATTACACAGAAATCAGTTCTACTATATATGTATATGTACATCAAGGGTTCTTCCCCTGGGCTCTGTGAATTTTTTTTAAAAGAATATTTTGAAAAATGCATTTCAATATAATTGGTTTCTTTTGTAATCGCACATTTTGTTCATTTAAAAGCATGATTCTGAGACAGGGTGATAGGTTTCACCGGATTGATAAAGGGGTCTCCGACATAAAAGGTTAAGAACCCCTGATGTATATGTATTTATGCACATACATATTACATATATATAATAATCCTTAAACAAAAATGTCTACAAATCATGAAGTCTCCATGATCCTAGGTGCCACATACGGAGCAGTAGTGGTAAGAATAATAGTAGTGGTAGCAGTGTGAAGTCATAACAGCAGATTTACCTGTTGTTAGAAACAGTCCTGATGAGAGAGAAGTGTGGTTTGTATTGCTACAGAAATAGTGATAATGGTGTTCGTTTGTAAGAGGCCATAAAGACCTTCTCTGCTAGTGCTCTTAAGATAGCAGGTATCCCACAATGTACTCTTGGAGCTTTCTAAGACTGAATTGACTCTCCAGGTTGAAATCCATTCTCAAGTGTGGTTTCTAACCCCTGAATAAACAATATTATTGTAGCCCACATCACACTTTATGTATGTAAAGTGTAAACCATAACACACAGGTGTCATACATTTTCACACACTGAACCATTATTTCTAAGGAGGCTCCCAATTTGAGCATGTCACTTATTTAATAAACTAGACAGACTCAGCAGTAAATGATAACAGGACTTCTCTTTCAAATACAGCATCAATGTCAAATGCAAAATGTTTCTTAATATTAGTGCATCTTCTCTCTCTCTTTTTAAAAATAAATTGAAATGCTTGGGCTTCTTAAGAAGGACTCCTTAATGAATGCTAAGCCTATGCATCATAGCAGCTTTCACTGAGTTCCTTGGCACAGTGACTAAGATTGGAACTTAGGTAAGAAAGGATTGTTTCCTAGTCACTGGTGATAAATGAAACTAAAGAATCAAAACATGGAAATGTCAGTTATTTGAAATATACTGAATTCAGTTATAACACGCACAAATAGCTCGCTTAACCTGAGGTGTAAATAGGTAAACTAAAAAGATGAAATTTGTGAGGGAAGTTTACAATAAAATTAGGTAATTTTGTGGGTATTTCCAAATCAATAATACTTCCTGACTGATTCTTCCTGCTCACATATTACAAATTTCCCTTAGGTACTGCATATATACTGGCATCAACACAAATTGCATAGTATTCAATAATATTCTTATAAGTGCAAATCATTCATAGTCATGCTCAGTCTGAGAAATCTACAAATTCAGGTTTATTTATTCCTACTTGGGCCTACATTAAGAAAAGCTATAAAAGTTTCTGGGAAATGATGAAATATAGTCAATGTCTTTATTACCGACAAATTTACCTTGATATTAGTGAGTTAGTTGATAAATCCGTAATATCAGCCATTAAAATTTCAAATATAGCTTATTGTAACATCAACTTTTGCTTTGGATGCTAGTATATATATGAAAAATGAATATCCTTTTTAGAATTTTTTTATTCCAATATAGGTATAAAGACAGAAGACTTGAGTCTTAGACTAGAAATACTGGCTGGATTAATGAAATAATTATTACAGGAAGTTCAGACTAAGAAATTGGTAGCATATGACTTAATTTTCTTAGATAATCTAAACTACATGTAATATTTTAGATGAAAAATGTCTTATAAAATTTAAAAAGTGGGGGGGAAAACCTTGGGATTCCTATAAGAACTGCTTAAAAGTTTAATTTTCATGAGAAAGTAGAAAGGAAATGAAAAGTAGGCAATGCATACAATTTTTATTATGTGGTATTTGGCACTAAACTTTTCACTGTCCTTTGTGACACCTGACAAAATAATTCCATCTTAATTTATTTTTTCCATAAGGTTTCAGTTTTTAGTGGAGACAGAAGTAAATTTCCATTTCCTTTCCCCAAGGTCCTACAAAAATCCCAAATGCTAAATTGTCAGGGTCCAAATGGAAATTTCATAAAAAAAGTCACCATTTTCTAGGATCTACCCTCCAAAGAATGCGTGCATCTTTGTCTCTATAATCCAGTAAGGTCTCTTTTTTCTCAAGTTAATGAGTACATATGGACACCTGCAAGGGAATTTTTTTTCCAGAAGGGAGGGATCTTATATCCTGTCATCATCAATATTTATTATTTAATGATCCTTTTTGTATTTTGCCCAGAGAATAATATATCATGGGGTTTCATATATATGAAGTGAAATGATGAAGAAATTTCACTTTGCATGCCATTTAGGTATGGGGTGATATTTTGATAGTCTTCACTACTTAGGGATTTCAAGTTTTTAATTTTAAAACTCTTAAGTAGGCATCTAAAAAGAAAACCTAGATGCAGCAATGCAAAGACTAATAATACTGGT